ATTTTCTCTGTGATCATCAACTATTTTGTATCAGAGACATATTCTGAAATTTACATTTCTACTCCTGAAGGTTTTATTAGAAATGGTAAGTAAATTAATTAATAAGTATTGCACTTAATTTATTGACTAATCTTATAATATACGTATACGTGGACACATGCATATAACCATACACACACAAACATACATGTCTATATAGATAAATATGCATACATATATGTTAAGCCAAAGGAAGCTTTAAAATAAGCATTAAAAAATTATAATTAGCTGGGTGTGGTGACATACTTCTGTAATCCCAGCACTCAGGAGGCTGAGGCAGGAGAAATGAGAGTCTGAGGCCAGACTGGGCTACAAAATGAGATGCTGTCTTCATAAACTAAAAACTAAAAAACAAAGAATATGTAATTGCAGAAACAGAAAATGAATTATAGGACTGGAAGTGTTGCTTTGCAAGTATGAACCCCCCTGAGTTCAAACCCCAGTCTCGCAAAAATAAATAAATAAATAAAATGAATTGTGAACTTAAGTTTACAGTCATGTAAGTCACATAATTTACATGTAAATTTCATACACTATAAAATAAGGCAAAAATTTTATTGCACTTAATCATAAAGTACACAATATGGTAAATATACATATACAAATGCATATTTGTATCTATGATCCCAGATCATAGTTATTTTACATGTAACATTAACATTTTGAGAAAAAAAGATGTTCAATAAAATAGACTAGTTAATATTACCAGTCCTGTAAAAAGACAGAATAATGTCATAAAAGTTATAAGAAATAGTAACAATCTACAAATAACAGAATTAAACTCCATTTATGCAGATTTTGTAAAGGAAAACTGTTAAAGCTAAATTTCAGAGTAAACTCTAACTCTATAGCTGTGTGAAGGCATTCTCATTTCAAATAAATAACTTTCAGTTTCCCAGAAGAATCATTTTTAACACTGATAGTCTTCCTGTTGGTATACAAAATACAAATCTTTCCTCCATTAGAAAACTCAAAATTTAAAACTCTGCATCAAGCCCTTTGTTCAGCGTTTTCTTTTCCTCTTGGGTGCAGCAAATTCTACAGACATAAAATTAAGAAGTTAGTTAGTTCTAAAAAAAAAAAGCCCTGAAACCTAATTGATAATATACATTTGAATTATATAGAGGTTTAACTGGTATAGCACAAGAATGACCTCATGGCAAAGATCCAATAAGAATCCTGAAAGGTAGCTACATCAGCACTAAAACAAAGTGACTAAGATTTCAACTTCATTACAATTACACCTGGAAACACAACTCAAAATATTAATACCATATTTCTGCCTATCATAGCAGATTCCATAGCCACACTCAAGTAAGTGTCCAACTTTAACAGAACACACAAAAGCATGAACATTAGGAAAGATGTAATAAAAAGAAATATTCCCCACCAATGAAAGCCCTAAGGGGAATGGTAGGGAAGAGAAAAAAATCAGGACAAAAAAGCAAGCAGATTCTAAGAAGATAATAAAAGCCAGGATGAAGACAGCAGGCCAACAGAAGGCTGTCCAGAACACAGCAGGGCAGAGGTCTGGGGAAGCTTCTTTAAATCTATGAAACTGACAGATGTCCAGATCCATTCATTCACTGTATTATTATCCATGATACATTAATCATGCATCCTGATTAATAGTGTGACAGATACTGAAATTCTCCAATGAGCTACAGCTAAAAGGATCACAACAGCACACAGCCAACTGTCACTTTTCAAGGACTCTAAACTTCTACGCTCTATAACCACACGGTTCCATCACTAATTTGACAAAATTTCATCTGTACCTGCTTCACTGAAACTTTCAGTCCCCTCCTCCTCTTCTGTAATTATAGGCATACTCAGATGTAAAGATTTTTCTTCTTTAGGTACATTCTGTACGTTACCTGGAAATATTTAGAAATATATAAAAAATGATGTTATATTGGAACAAAGAATATTAATCTTTAAGAAAACATTTTACACAGGCAACATCACTCTAACAATATAAAATTAAACATTAAACTAAAAACTCCACCAGGCACTAGTGATACATACCTGTGATCCTAGCTACTCAGGAGGGAAGAGATCAGGAGGATCGCAGTTCAAAGCCATCCCTGGGCAAATAGTTCACAAGACCCTATCTCAAAAAAAACCCAACCAAAAAGGGTTGGTAGAGGCCTAGCAAGTGTGAGACCCTAGGTTCAAAACCCCAGTACCGCCAAAAAAAGAAATTTTAAACCCCTATTTGTACCTATGCTTTCAAAACAGTCTCTAATTCCTCCACTAAAGAAAATGGAGAAGAAGAGAAGACACAAAATTAGCCAAACAGATACCTTATTCAGTCTTTAACACAGAACAGGAGGTACATCTGCAGGGACATGAAGAAGTAATCATGTGTGTTACTTAACTTTATCAAATTAATTAATCAAAATATAATTTTAAAGTTAAATACCTTCTAGCTGAACATAGTGGCTCATGCCTGTAACCCTAGTTACTCAGGAGGCAGGGAGTAAAAGGACTACAGCTTGACGCCAGCTCAGGCAAGTAAGTTTACAAGATCCCCACCTCAACCAATAGCTGAGCATGGTGGTGCAAACCCATTATCACAGCTGTACAGGAAAGCATAAATTAGGAGACTGGTAGTCCAGGCTGGTCCAGGCATAAAGCAAGGCCCTATATCAAAAACAACTAAAGCAAAAAGAGCTGGAGGAGTGGTTCAAGTGGTAGAGTGACAGCCTAATAAGCACAAGGCCCTGAGTTCAAACCCCAGTACCACAAAAATATTTAAAAAGAAAGCCTTTTTTTAAGTACTAGTATTGAACCCAGGGCCTTGTGCATTCACTCTACCACTGAGCCACATCAGCCAGCCTTATATTTGAGTGCAAACACATTTTCTTTTGCCAACACATGCTCTACAAGATACTGAGGTTTGAACTTAGGGCTGTACCGCTTGAGCCACACCTCCAACAATATTTTCTAGTTATAATTTGCCATTGACTTTCCATTTTCAAAAACACTGGAGGTGTTCTACATCTACTCTCTGGCCTAATCAAATTAATCAAATACCACTGTCACTTCAGAGGTGTCATTTAGCACACAACTTCCATTCCCCAAAGCAATGCCCATTCGCAGTCACTCTTTATTCCCCATGCTGGTTGTGTTCCCCAACACCTGTACTCACTTGATACTTGTACATCCATTTGTTTCTTTGCAGTCTGCCTCTTCCCACTACAGTGTAAGTACCACAAGGATAGAATTTGGTTTGCTTTCATGATGTATCCCCAGAAGCATGGTATATAAAAGTGCCATGGAAACAGTGATGCCTCAATAGAGACCTCAATAAGTGTCTATTGAATAAGCAAATACGTATTCAACTATTTTGTTTTACAACATATTTCATTGGGCAGATATGTACAGGGGGCAAGAAACTAAACAAAAATGTTTAATTTCTTAAACTTTCTACTTTGGTGCACATATGCTGGGTTTTAATTTTATGGAATGAATACAAGACAGAGTTGAATAATCTGTAGTAATATGCTCCCACTTTAAATGCAATTCAAACTCAATGAAATAATATTAAATCATTAAAACAGGACTGTCCCTTTATTTGCAACTCCTAATATTAAATAAAATGAAATGGGGTTTTTCATTGTTGTTGTTAATAGCAACTTTGTTTCACTTATGCAAAAAAAAATTTTTCCTATTAAATTTACAATAAGGTCTAAAAAAACTAGATAGTATTTGTTGCCCTCAACGCAGAGAAACTAAAGCAGATACTTTAAAGCAACTGAGGCCAATAGGAGAAGGGGACCAGAAACTAGAGAAAAGGTTAGATCAAGAAGAATTAACCTAGAAGGTAACACACATGTACAGGAATCAATGGAGTCAACTCCCTGTATAGCTATCCTTATCTCAACTAGCAAAAACCCTTGGTCCTTCCTATTATTGCTTATACTCTCTCTTCAACAAAATTAGAAATAAGGGCAAAATAGTTTCTGCCGGGTAGCAAGGGGGAAGTGGGGGGGGCACAGGGAGGGGTGAGGGGAAGGGGGGAGAAATGACCCAAACATTATATGTACATATGACTAAAATAAAAATTTTTTAAAAATTTACAATAAGGGTTGTACATAAATTATATAATGATAAAATTTTCTATTTTATATTATTTAGAACCAAATTATTTTAATAAATATACCCAGAAGACAACAAAGGTTCTTAATGGATGGCTGAGTTCAAATAATGCAAAACATAGCTTCTGCATAAAATAACATTTCATGTGATCATGAAGATAATCTTTAAGGGTCCCTCTTTCCAGAGCTTATCAGGTATCTTCTTTTAGACTTTGAGCCTATAAATTTTTTTTCAGTTGCTCACAGAACTGTAATTAGTAACAACCACCCAAAATACTAGTGTTCTTCAGTCTTTAAGCTATACTCATCTATATCATGCTAATAATTTTTTAAATCTGTATTTACCTAACAGAATCTATCCAACAATATCAAAGGATTTCTAAGGTGAAAACGGACAGCTGAGAAACAAGCTTCATCTAGTCACCAGAGGATTAAGTTTTAGAGATCTATTCTAACTAAATGAATCCATGTTCTCTGAAAACTCTGCTACACAAATGCAGTGTTTTGCCCGCCTAGAACACAGCCAGGAACCAAGGAGGAGCATACAGAGCCTCAGGATGCTCATCGCAAAGCCCACATATTAAATACAGCTCACAAACTTTACTCACAGGTGCATTCCTCAGGCCTTCATCCAGAACCTATATATTCATTTATTGTACACAAAGCTTAAATAAACAGCTAACTACTTTCCTAGACCATTAGTGTAGAAGCAGCAAAAAAGGGGGAAAAAAATGCCAGATGTGGTGGCTCATGTCTGAAATCCCAGCTAGTTGGGAGGCATAGGTACAATCATGGTCTGAGGCCAGTCTCAGGCAAAAAATGCAAGATCCTACCAGAAAAATAAGTAAAACAGCTGCAGCCATGGACCAAGTGGTAGACTACCTACCTAACAAGTGCAAGGCTCTGACTTCAAACCTCAGCACCACCAAAATAATGAGGGGGGAGGTTGCTGCATGCCTGCAACTGAAAGACACCCACTATAGTAAATGTCACAGAAAAAACTGCTTTTGCATTTTGTTTTTAAAAAGGCATAAAACTGATAAAGTACTGCAGCCATGGAGTCACTTAATAAAATAAACTGCTCCCCCACAGTTATGACATTTCTTGAGAGGATCATTATTACAAAAACCAGGAAAATAATATGTTCATGATGATACCATGAGTAAACAGGAGAAAATTAAATATGTTCAGGATACAGTGCTATAGAAAATGAGAGTACACAATAATTTTCTTATAGTGTTTTTCTAAATATAAAAGTATTTTCTAAATCCTGCAGAAAATAAGAAACATAAAACAAAAGAATGTATTTTAGAAAGATATCAACAAAATCAAGTTTAAAGTTTTTTGACATCTAAGTCATTAACCTCAAGTATACAAAAAAACTCAAAGGCTACCGAGTGGACAGTTTCATCATGCTCAAAGCTAACTGAGGCATGCACCATCAGTCAAAGGCTAAATGATTACACAGGACACACAGCAGTGAATGATTCAAGCATGGATTCAGACACACTCACACAAGTCTCAGTTTTGAGGGTTGGTGGAGTGGCTCAAGCTGCAAGAGCACTTGCCTAGGCAGGCGTGAGGACCTGAGTTCAAATCCCAGTTCTGCCAAAAAAATAAAAAGCAATACAAATCTCAGTTTTGCTATTTATAAAGCTAGGCCACCCTAGATAATGTGAGAAAAGTTCCAAAGACAGTAAGTGTCAGATGAACAGTAACTATGTCTGTGGTCCTCCAGACATGTACATGTACATGCTAAGATGGTAGACAGTAAAACGGTAGCTTAATACAAGTAAGCCAGGCCTACCAGCCTGTAATGCCAGCACTTGGAAGGTGGAGGCGGAAGAATCACAAGTTCAGGTTAGCCTGGACTACACAGTGAGACTTTGTCTCAAAAAAGAATTTTTTAAAAATTAAAAAATTATAATACGAATAATTCAACCAATATATTAACCCCCAATCAATAACCATGCAGTCATTATAGGAACTCAGTATAGGAACTCAGTCTGAGAAGGCAGACTGGGGCAATTCTCCCCCCCACAGCTGAAATCCTTTTATTGTGCCATCCATATTTCTCCAACATTAAGATAGCAACATTCTCTTCAACTGCTTAGGCACTTGGCATTTTTCTTACGCCCTCCATCAGCCTCCCTATTTGACTCTTATATCCATAAGCCTGCTCCTTTAATTCTTACAAGCACCTGGTCAGATACTCATTACTCCTAAACTGTTCTACTGACTGTTCCTATTTTCAGTTTGTTAACTCCTACGTACCATACTACTCACAGACTGATCTTCCAAGAAAATTGATCATGCCAATTTTAGCTCAAAAATTTCAGATAAATCACTTGTGCCTACCAAATTAAGTCTAAATGGTTTTTGGGGTTTTTTGTTTTTTGGTATTTTTTTCCTTTTCTGGTTTTGTTTCTTTGACAGCACTGGGGATTGAACTCAGGGCCTCACATGTGCTAGGAAAGTGCTCTATTACTTTAGTCACTCTGCCAGCCCTTTCTGTGCTGGTTATTTTTTGAGATAAGGTCTCGCTTTATGCCTGGACCTCAATCTTCCTACTTATGCTTCCTACATAGATGGGGTGACAGGGGTACACCACCATGCCCAATCAGTGGTTGAGATGCCTGGACTGGCCTAGAACTGGGATCCTCCCGACCTCCACCTCCCAAGTAGTAAGGATTACAGGCTTGAGCCACCATGCAGCACAAGTAGAAACTACTTGATTACATTTTTAAGGCCTGGCCACAACACAATCCTCAGTGCATTTTTCCAGCGTTATTAACAGTTAATATCCTTTACATTCCAACCTACATACCCAGCTTTGTCTTTTTTCATGTCAGCCCCTCTGCTTATCTACAGACTTTCTCTAGTTTTCTAATTACTGCAAGGTATTCCTTTTTATGGACTGAAAATAATTTTACTTTCCTAATTTTTAAATGTTATATAATTAAGTTGTTCACAGTCTTGCTATTTCAAATAATCCTGTAATGGATATCTTTGTCATTTGTAAACAATAAATTCCTAGAAATTGAATTGCTGAGTTCAAAAGCATGCACACTGAAAACCCAGACAGATGATTCCAAACTGCTCTCTGAAGATGTGCTAATTTACTTTCCCACTTAAATTCAGAGATGTTATGACCTCACACTTTCACTACCAATCAACAGTCAGTTATCTTTAATCTTTGCTGATCTAATAAATGACATCAAAATCATGCTTTTATTTACATTTCTAATTACTAATAAAATTAAATATCTCTTCGTGTATGCAGGGACTGCATTTTGTTTGTGAATTGCCTTTTTAAAAAATTTCAGCTGGCACAGTGGCCTAAGTGATAGAGCACTTGCCTAGCAAGTGTGAGGCACCAAGTTCAAACCCCAGTACCACCAAAAGAAAAAAAAAAAAAAATTCAGTGTCCAGGGTTCATTATAAGTATAGAAAAATACTAACTCTGTACCTTGTGAACTACTAAATTCAATTACTAAGACGGTAGTGTTGCTCAGTGACATAGCATTTGTCTAGCATGCATTAAGTCCTTGGGTTTAAGCCCCAAAACTGCAAATAAATAAGTACATATGTAAATAACCCCAGGGCAACTCTCCACCAAAAAAAAAAAAAAAAAAAACCATGAATAAATCCAATTATTAGTTCTGGTAGCTGTTCTGTAGATTTTTTTTTTTATTTTAGGATTTTTCTACAGAAAAGTGTATTTCATTGAAAACATAAGTGTTATTTCTTCCTTTATCTATCCATTATTTCTTTTTTCTTGCCTTACTACACATTCAGACTTCCAGTATGTTTAATATTTAGCAGGAGCAATAAAACTGGGTATCCTTGCCTTATTCTTGATTTTTGGGGAAAGCATTATTTTCCCAGTGATTATGACTTTAGCTAGATTTTTAGAGAAGTACTTTGTCACACTTGACTAAGTTTCCTTCTTTTTTTTTTTTTTAACATTTTTTTTAATATCATATTATTGTTGTACTGGGGGTACATTATAACATTTACAAAAGTTCTTACAATGTATCACAGTTGAATTCCCGCCCTTTCCCGGAATAGTTTCAACAGGTAGTAAGTTTCCTTCTAATTTAATCAGCTTTTGTCATGAGCAGACACTAGATATAAACAAAAATTTTGTCTACATCTATTAATATGAGTAATATAAGTTTTATTCAGCTAATATGATGAATTACATTGGGTCTTTTTGTTAATACTAAATCAACCTTACACTCCTGGAATAAACCCTAGTTATTCATAATATGTTGTCTTTTTGATGTATTGTTGTATTTGATTTGCTAATATTTTGTAAGGATATTTCCCATATACGCTCATGAGGGATACTGGTCTTTAGTTTTCTTTTCTTACAATGTTAACAAGCTGGAAAATGTTCTATCTTATATATTGTGAAAGAATCTATATAGAACTGATGCTACTCTTTTTTTAAACATTTGCAAACCAGGCGTGGTGGCACATGCCTACAATCCCAGCATTCAGGAGGTGGAGTCAGTAGGATGACAAGTTCAAGGCCCACCTGGGCTACATAATGAAACACTGTTTCAAAAAAACTCCAAAATAATAAAAGAACCAAATAGCATGGGTAACTTTATACTCTATTTTAAGAGAAAAGCAGAAACAGCTTAATTAATAAAACATAAAATACACTCTCATTAGCATCTTCTACATGTTTACACACAAAAATTACTAATAAAGTATTCACTGGATAATTTCTAGACTGATTCTAGAGCTATCTATATTACTTTGAACAAGTTATTTAATCTGTACATCATCCATGAAATGATAAACTTGATATAAACTCCAAGGGTCCTCTTCAGCAACAAGATCCCAAGAATCTAAGAAAACTGATTTACTTTCAGTATTAAATCTCTCAATGTTCTCAAACAAATTTCTAATCCTTCTTAAAAGAAACACGGCAAAGTCAGGTAAATACACCTGATTTACTTAACATTTTTTGCACTGTAGTTTCAGATGTGCAATAATTTGTACAATGGTTTATTCCCAAGTATGCCTTAAGCAGAACAAATATGTTTTTTTATATAGTTCTTTGCTTTAATAAACATGTAATATAAATTTAAGCAAGCTTCTATTTTGTATATTTGTAAACTACAAAGTAAAAAAATTGAACATTTTGTGGAGTGTGAATGTTGTATACTCAAGGTAAGAATTAAGTTTTAAATACACCTGTAATATATTATCTAAAAAAAAAAAAAAAGAAACAAATAACACTATTTTCCCCTGAATCTTAGCACAACTCCAAAAACGCACCTTTGCTTCGAGAAGACATCCTCCTTCCTGCTGATTTTGATGTTTCTTTGGTTCTTTTTTTCTTACTTGCTTTGGTTTGTATTTGCCCAGATGCAGAATCAGAGTCAGAAGAGTCAAGTTTGACTTGCCGATGCCTTCTTGACTTAGATGCCTTAAGAGTTAGAAATCCAATTAACAAAATAAATTACAAAATGAATCCAACTGTCAGATCATACAGAGGAAGGTAAAATACACAAAGCTAAGGAAAGATTTACAGAATTACGCTGGCTTGCTTTTTATAATGACTTGTGCATGTGCAGTCTTCTATCTTTATAACCGTCTCCTGCAGCTGCCATCATCATCTACTCACACTGCGTTAAAATGCAGTTGTTCTGTTATCTGGATAACTGGGAAATGGAGGTGTACAGAAAAATACTGCTTTTTATTTTTAAAAACTTATTCCCCTTTATTCTAATAATTACTTTACTTTCCTTAGGTACCACTGTGTGATTTAAGTGCATCTACTTCATGTCTGGATCCAAGTATGGCCATGTGGCTTGGTTTTAGCCAAAATGAATTTCACATCCCCATGGTCATGGTGATTTGTTCAAAAATGGGTAGGTGACCTGATCATAGCTAATGGAATTCTATTTTAGAACTACTGAGCCACTAGGAAAGAAAAATTTGCTTTCCTCTGAATAAAAGCCAGAATACACAAGGCTGGAGCTGTCAAAAACAGCACTGACAGACAAGAAAAGCAACATAAGGTGAAAAGTGGAAGGTCAGCCAAAAAGGTACCTGATTTTGAGGCTAACTAGTCGAGGACTTTCAGTGGATGAGTTCCTTTACTTGCTTAACCAAAGAGTTTTCATTTAATGTTATATATGTGGTACAGGTATTAAAATTCTTAAAAAGCAAACATTCTTTATTTCTACAATTAGAAAATGATGGTTCTCATAAACATACTCTTAGATTCATAAAAAAATCTAGAATTAAGCACATGAACTTATCAGTCTTCCCTCCACTCCACTAAAATGAGAGTAAAAGATAAAAATACATAAATCCACAAAAACAAAAACAACAGAAAACAATACAACTGTAATAAAACCCAAAATTTTGGATTTGCGAAGTGCAAAAGTGAGTAACAACTGACTTAACAGAGTGAAAAAGCCTAAAAGTAGGTTAGTATACAGCAAGCTGATCCAACTGGGTCAAGATTGGAGTTATAAGAGATAAACTTAAAAAAAAAAAAAAAAAAAAGGGGAGGGGGCACATGTATTGAAAATCCTCATGGGGGATAATGTCCCATTCTCCAGCCTCAAAGACAAGCAACGGAACCCCTCCCACAGAAAACAGGACATTAGCTCTTGGGAGAGACTAAACCAAACCAAAAAGGCTATAGGCTTAAAAAAAAAAAAAAAAAAAAAGCTGGGTGCTGGTGGCTCATGTCTGTAATCCTGGCTATTCAGGAGGCAGAGATCAGGAGGATTGCAGTTTGAAGCCAGCCCAGGCAAATCATTCGTGAGACCCTATATCCAAAATACCCAACACAAAAAAAGGTTGGTGGAGTGATTCGAGTAGTAGAGTCCCTGCCTAGTCAGCATGAGGCCCTGGGTTCAAACCCCAGTACCACCAAAGGAGAAAAAAAAAAAAAAACTGGTAAAAATAGAGAGGTGGACAGCAATGTGCATAAGGAATGGTGAGCCTCTGGCTGGCTCACGGCAGGCTCTCAAAACACTCGCAGTTGGACTTATTTCCTAAGGCAAGGGAATAGAAAACTGTTCTCTGTTAAAAATTACTAGATCCAAGAAAAAGAAATGTAGGTGTTCAAAAATCTGCATCTCGTGGGATGCAGGTGGCTCACACTTGTAATCCTAGCTACTCAGGAGGCAGAAATCAGGAGGATTGCAGTTTGAAGCCAGTCTGGGCAAATAGTTTGTGAAAACATATTGCAAAAGGGCTGGTGGAGTGGCTCAAGGTGTAGGCTCTATTTTCAAACCCCAGTACTGTTCTGAGTGATGGCTACCAGAAACGTCAAGGACAATGAATGAAAGAGACCTACACCAATTTACATTATCCATTATCATGGAATTTCTTAACTTCAAGGACAAAAAGTCTAAGACCTTCCAGGATCTGGAATAGCAAAAGCTGGAAGATGATGAAGAAAATGACATGAAAATTAGAGGTAAATACTGGAAGAAATAGCTAAGAGAAACAAGTTGAAGATGGGTGCCTCTCAGGGTCAGGAACAAAGAGGTAGAAAGTGGAGGGACAGGAGCTGTTGTGGGCTGTATGTTTGACTTAGGGTTACTTAACTTTTAAGCTATGAACACGTATGACTTTGATGAAAAATTAAAATGCAATGTAACTTTAGAAAACACCCCATTTGCAAGTTACCTTACTGAAGAAATAACTTACCTGAATAACAACCGAAAAGGCTTTTGATTTTATTTTTGCTAATGATTCTGCCCTTTCACATCTCTGGAAGAAAAATTAACAAGGAAAAACAAAGCTGAAACTCATAAACGCTAAATTATGATTACCTAAGTATTTAGCAAGAAGACCTGCAACAGAAGGTAGGGTAAAAGAAACAACACTTGTTAGGCGCATACTGATACATTAACATACGCACGATTCTCTAACAGACACAGCAGGTGGCATAATACCATCCTCAGAGCTATTGAGCACCTAACTCAAAGTTCAAGGAGGATAATGCGAACCAAAGCTTGGTGATCAAGAAGAGCTCTTGACTGCCAACCCCTCCTTACCGACCTATGCCCAAAAGAGGGTTCCATGCATCTTCCACTAAGACACATGACAACTCTTGAGGCAGGAAACAGCAAATAGTAGCTTGAGTGCCCCAGGTTGGAAAGGCTGACAGGAAGACAGAAATGATCAGTCTTTGCCTGCCCCTCTGAGAACTAACAGCATCCTCTATCACCCTCTTCTTTACCTGCTAAAAACCTTAACATCCTCACTTCCAACCTCTACCTGATGTGGCCCTTGATAAAATTTTCAATAAAAAACACACTACCTTTTCACAGACCTCATGATTCAGAATTTTTTCTGACATTTTAAAAATACTGACCAAAGGTCCTAATACTTAATATGAAGAATTACAATCATATTCAAAAGGAAAAGAAGGTAACCCACTGCTGCCCCATAAGCAATTATTCAGCAGTTCTCTGACCTCTGAATCTCGTGAACTTTCTTCTCTGTTTTCTTCTCCATCTTTAGTTTTAGATTTTAAGGACGGATTCTGAAAGAGCAAAAGTTATTTGTATACATTACATATATACACATTTTCAACTTCAGTAATTAGAAATCTATTTAACATTAGGATGTGTTCCTTTTAACTGCTGAAAGACTAGATCATTTCACATTATTATAGCATGGTTCACCACCTGACATTAACATCACGTTTAAGTTTCAGAGCAGTTCTAGAATTCATGAACGTACATGAAGGATATCATGTATTTTATGTGGTACTAAGAAAACTGGCTTATTTACCCTTTCTTCGGGTTTTCTAAGGTTTCAGTAATGCTCACTGAAAAGGGTTTATAAAGAGTACTAACAGATTATTACATTAAATGCCTCTATCTTTGTGTAATCTGTTTACAACAAAGTAAGCATTCTAAAACTTGCTATCCTCATCAAAATAAATATAAGTGAAATCGAATTCTTTTCTTCCCCCAAAGACTATCATCTCCTTATCATTTCCTTGTTTATCTTTTTCTCTTTTGGTGGTACCGGGGTTTGAACTCAGGGCCTCTTGTTAGCTAGGAAAGTGCTCTACCACTTGAGCCACACCTCCAGCCCTCTTTTTATCTTCTCTAAATAAATCTTGAACCACTTCTCATATAATGGAAAGCCAAAAAATAGCAACAAATCCTTCTGAGGGACAACATATAGGTCACTAATACATCACATTCATGAAAACACTAACACATGATCAGATACACGGTAGTAGCCAGAAATTATTTTTTACTTTTATTCTTCCCTAGAAGTATTTACTAAAAATAAAATGGAGTAGTAATTTCAAAGGTACATGAATGCTGGCACTTAGGTTTCTAGCTAAAAAGGCTGATGTGGAATTTGGGCAGTTCTACCATCAATCCTTAGGATCCGAAAACTAAACTGAAACTTTGCGTTGATTAAGACTTTAAACAGGTAAGCCACACCAGGTAGAAAATGTGGTAGACAAAGAAGTACAAGCTATGTCACAGTGGGCAAAGCCCTCAAGTCCACATGGGTGCTACCATGCAGAAGAGTGGGACCAGTGTTACCTGACATGATTTGTAAGAAAAGTCGGGTTTTTTGGAATTTTTGATGAAGTCCACAAATATTTGCATGTTGGTAATTAATGCAAAATTCTAAAACAATGTTGGAATCAATACTGTGCCAAACACATTTATATACCAGATTTGACCCAAAAACTGAGTTTGCAACCTCTGGAAAATGTCAAATTACAAAGATTATAATTGATCTGCAGTATAACAAGATTACTGTCCTATAATATATATGTGTGTGTGTATATATATATGTATACATAAATATGTATCTATATATATTCCATTTGTAAGGTTAAGTAATGTCACATAGCTACCAAATAACTAAATCATAATTAGAAAGGTAAACCCTTCTATCTTCATTCCACAGGAACACAGCCACTAAGCTATGTGGCCTCTCAATATTGTCACTCATGTCTAAACATTCATATCCAATGCAAGGATAAGGTACCAACAAGCAACTGCTTACCTTCCTGTCTTTATGCCACTGCTGATGCTCCAAAATTATGTTCTTAATATTGTCAAAAAAATCATCCTTTATCAAGCTGAGGGCTTGGTCTGGCTTGGACTTCTCAGTTGAAATGACATGTTTCATGTTCTGATAATGATCATGAACATTCAGCATTTCCTACAAGTGAAAAAGTAAGACTTTATTTCAATTACTTTTCCTTTCTTTGAGACAAGATCTTACTAGATATCCCACACTAGTCTTGAACTGGTGATCCTCCTGCCTCATCCTCCCAAAGTACTATGATTGCAGGCAGGTGCCCCCACACTGTTTCTTTCACTCTCTCTCTTTTTTTTTTGAGACAGGGTCTCCCTATATAGCTCAGGTTAGTCTCCAATTTTCAATCCTTCTGTCTCTATCACTCTGAGTGCTGGGATTATAGGTGTATACTACTGTACTTGGCCCTTTATTTTTTTGATGACAATCTTAAAGGGAAAACCAATGCAAAATACAAGTACATCCAAAGGGACTGTGTGTTGACAGGAAATAACATGCTAACATATTATAAAAATAGTATAATCATGCAAGCAAAATACTACATCTTTCTCTCTCATCCTCTCTCCCCATTACAACTTTTCTTGGCAGTACTGGGGTTTCGCACTAGTGAGGCAGGCGCTCTATCCCTTGAACCACACTTCCCTCCAGCTCTTTTGCTCTGGTTATTTTAAGGAGAGGGTCTTGCTTTTTGTCTAGGCCAACCTGGATCTATATCTTCCTATATAGAAGCTGGATGTAGCTTCTATACAGCTGGGATGACAACTATATAGCTGGAATGACAGGCACATGTCACAACACTCAGCTCTTTTCTATTGAGATGGGGTCTCAAAACCTTTTTTGTTTTGCCTGGGCTGGTCTAGACCTTGATCTTTCAGATTTTAGCCTCCTGCATATCTTGGGATGACAGGCGTAGGCCACTAGTTCTAGTCATTAGTTGAGATGGGGTCTCATTAGCCTCCTGCCCTGGCTGACCTCCAACCATGATCCTCCTGATCTCATCTTCCCAAGTAGCTAGGATCACAGGTGTGAGCCATTAGCATCTGGGCATCACATCATGTCAATTCTCACAAGTGGATGGAATAAAGACTATATAATTCTAATATTAAAGAGGGGAAAATCAAATCTCACAGAGAGTAAAAAATATGATCATGGTGTCCCCTCCCCTTCCTTCTCTTTACATATTCTTTTAGAATGCCATTGATTAGAAGCCTGTATCCTTGATCTGGGCATGGTGGCACACATCTGTAATCCCAACATTCAAGAGACTGAACACTGTAAATTCCAGGCTACCCTGACCTACAACACAGTGAGACCCTATCTCTAACAAGCAAAACAACAACAACAACAAACAGAAGCCTATAACCTTGAGGTAGGATTCTGTTTTAACATCAGGGCAATGTTTTTCTACTCATCCACTCATCTGTGAGAAAAAGTTTTTCAATACTGAACAACTGAAATAAAATACCACAATATATTCCAGGGTAAAATTGTTATAAGACTCCAACTCTTACCATAATTTCTGATTTCAAATGTTTCTCTTTTATTTGTTTCTTCTTTTTCTTGTTTTTTTTTTTTTTGAGACAAGGTCTCACTGTATAGCCCAGGCTGGCCTGGAACTAAGATCTTTGCCTTAACCTCCAGAATGCTGGGATTACATGTGCCACCATGCCTAGCTGATGGTGGGTTTTAAAATAAGCATTGTTAAAAGAAAACAGGAAATAAATGCCTATTGTTTTTTTAAAAACTAAAATAAAGTTACTTTAAACTCATTTTATGATCTTTTTTTTTTCTTTTCTCTTTTTTTTTGTTTGTTTATGCAGTGCTAGGATCAAACCCAGGACTTCACAAATGGTGACCTACTAAAGTCAAACACAAATGGTATTTGAACACACATATCCTGAGTGTAAGTTCAGTCTTCTAAATCTATCTCTCATTATGCTTCAAGATGTATACATTTTGTTATGCTTAGAGTGTTTTATATTTGATACTTTAAGAGAATCCTATGATTGGTTAAATCACACAAAAATTGTCAATATCCATTAGATGAAGTTATAACCTCAAAATATAATTGGCAATAAGACAATGTTTTTCTAATATTTCAAGGGCATAAAAGCAACTTACTTCTAACACATCAGAAGTGATAAGTTTCATTACACGATCATTTGGGTCCTTAAATTCTTCTGTAACTTCAGCTCGTTGAATTTTTTTCTTCATTCTATATGAAAGCTATACAAAAAAAAGTATCTTTTGAGGTGAACATCTTTGAAAGGATACTTTCAGGTACTTAAATATAAGGTAGCAGCAAAAACTGTCTATCAGTAAACATGAATAAAACAAAAGCACAAGTGAAAATGTTAAATAACCATTTTCCAAAGACTATCAAACTTTTGAACTCTGCTGTCAGATGCTGTGCCACATGCTAACAAACTTATGTGAGAGTCAGAGATAAGATATGATTTGTTAGCTAATGGCAGAACTAGAACCATGGCTTTTCCAACCCCGTGTCTCAATTGTCACAAAATTGAAGAAATAATAGGTTTTACTAGGCATTTCAACTTTCTGCCAACTGACATACTAAAATTCCTTGGTTCTGTTTCAGTAAGCCCTGTGATGTTCAAATAAAGAAATGCACAAGGGGCTGGGGGTACAGCTCAGTGGTAGGGTACTTGTCAGGCATCTGTGAGGCCCACAGTTAGATCCCCAGAACTGAGGAGAAAGAAAAAGGAAGGCACAAGCAAAGGCAGATGCCAAATCTCATTTCTCCAAGCAAGAATATATAGCATACTTTTGAGTCCAGAAACACTCTGCACTCAAAAGCAGAGGATGAATTTTTATTTGCAAGAAAAAAAAAAAAGAAAAGAAGAAAGAAACTGCAAGTTTTAAACAATGGTAACAGTCTTTCCATTTTCTGGAAATTGAAGCACTTTATGGACAATGAAATCTAACTGCTCATTTTGAAAAAAAAAAAACAATTATTTTAGGCAACATACCAACTTAGGCATTGCTGTAAAATGAAATGCTTTGTCTAGTCGTAGCTTCCTAAAAATATAAGCTGCATCAAAATGCTGTGCATTTATCAAATCTTGCTGAAATTTTAAAACTTCATCCCAGTCCTTCAAGGCAACTCTGATCTGCAACCAGGAAGAGAAAAAACTGTAAGAAATATAAACCCCTTTTCACAAATGTATTATGATTTTTAAAACACTGGCATTTCTGACTTGTCAGTTTGTTATTTAAAAAAATATATATATAGTACCGGATTTGTTGAGGGAAACAATTCACCAAGTATTACCTTTTGTTTTGGTTGACACAGCTGGCTATTATATAATCCATATAGCAGATACAAAGCACCAACTCTGATCTGGAAGGTGTATGGAGGTAGAAAATATCGCCAAGCCAAAGCTAAAGCTTCTTTTGTAAACATGTTCTTTTCTAAATTTCTCATTTTGCCACTAGAAAACATAGCATGACTTGTTAAGTAAATGAACAAAAAACAACAGAAGTATGTACTTATTTAAATAGCAGTTGCTAATAACTACATGAAATACCATATCTGATTCTCTCATGATTTAAGCAAAAAGAGCTGTCTACTGTAGTTCTGATACTGAGGCACAAGCAACCACTAGATAAACAGGATACAGCTTCCAAAAATATTAATCTTACTTGTCAAATTAGAAAGCAAAAAGAAGGGGCTCCAAATTATTACTGATCGAGTATTTCAAATGTTTAAAGGCCAGGATTGGTGGCTTAGACCTATAATTCCAGCTATTCAGGAGGAAGGAAGATTGTGATTTGAAACCAGAGTGTGGCTCAAATGATAACAGCATCTGCCTAGCAAGCACAGGCCCTGAATTCAAACCCCAGTACTAAAAAAAACCCCAAAAAACTGATATTAAAATAATCAAATAATCTTGATTATGTTACAGAATGAAAAACTGTGCATTTTAATATATAATCCACATTTTCCCCAATATTCTGCCCTCGAGATGCTAGGTGAAAAGTTAAGAGTAATAATGAAATAATACAATGTAACTCGCTCCCAGTGCAAAGCTCACCATAGAAAAGGAGGAGTAAGGTACGAGAAAGAGCTCATCAGTTTCTACCACTAATAGAGAGTAGAGCTCTCTTAGAAACTGATCAATGTAATAGCACAGGAAATATACTTTCTGTAAAGCAAATAACACTATTAATAAACTACCTGAAACTGTTGCTCTGCCGAGTTAACCAAAACTTTAAAAAAAACAAAAAAAACAAAACAGCAAGACCATAAAAAAGTCAATATGACATCATTCTTCCAACTTTGGATCAAACAATGAAGGCTTAACTTAAGCATAAAATGGACAGTTTTCTATGTAAATCTTGAAGTTAGTAAATTTTAAAATGTCTATTTTTAATATAACCTTAGCTAAAATAAATGTCTCAAAGTATATTTTTTAATAGATACAAGTAATTGACACACCATACAAGTATAAATATGATGAAATTTTCATTTAGTAACAGCAACATAAAATAAAGGCATTAGCCCTCAACCAGTAAACAGGGCCTCTATCACATCTGATTACAAAGGGGATAGAGAACATCTCAGCTCTCAATAAATATACTAAAGGAATGCAAAATACCTGCTATAGTGCTGGTGACCAAAACAATTTCTAAAGCCATTCCACCACTCCTCCAGTGATCCCTGTTTCTTTAGCTAATAGGATTTCCCTATTAGCAAAAATTGGGATAACCTTTTAAGTTTTTCTCTGAAGTGCCCTTTTTTACGAAAAAAAAGTACAGGAAAAGATTAATGGGTTTTAGAAATAAGTAGACATATAGGTTTCAATGTCTGCTCCACCACCTTCTAGTAATCTTGGGAAATTAACCTTCTTATATTTTTCAGCTATAAAAAAAAAAAGACAGCCAGGCACAATGGCTCACACCTGTAATCCTAGCTACTCAGGAAGCAGAGATCAGGAGGATCATAGTTTGAAGCATCCAGGGAAATAGTTCGAGAGACCCTATTTCAAAAAAAAAAAAATCACAAAAAAGGGCTGGTGGAGTGGCTCAAGGTGTAGGTCCTGAGTTTAAACTCAGTACTGCCAAAAAAAAAAAAAAGACAATTATACCTGCTTTTCAGAGTTGGTCTATGTATTAAGTAAATTAAGCTGTAAATGCATTACATTTAGTAACTATTTTTAAAAAATTAGTTCTCCTTCACTAGCTGCACAATAAAAAGCTCCTTACGCTCTATCCCTTTGTAATTTATAAAGTACATAATTACTTTACATTATCAGAAAGAGAAAAAAAGAGAACTATATTTAATTCAGCAAAGATTTTTTTCTTTGTTTTAGGGCTTTTTTTTTTTTTTTTTTTTTGGCAGTACTGGAGTTTGAACTCAGGGCCTACACTTGCTAGGCAGGAGCTCTACCACTTGGGGCCTGCTACCACTTGAGCCACTCTGCCAGCCCAGCAAGTTTAAATATAAGATCTCATTCATTCAATTATTTAGCCTTTGCAATGTTACATGTACTATGCTAATGAAAAATCCAGGTTCATCCAGTCACTGTCCCCACAGAGTTGGTCTAATGGAGGGAAAAGTAGAAAGTAATGATGACAAACATTTACTGAGCACCTGGAACACACTTCACATACATCAGCTCGTTCAATCCTTACAAGTATATGATGTATTGTCATTGTGTCTATTTTACAGATAAGAAAGCTCAACCAAGTAACTTGCCCCAAATCCCAGCTAGCAGACTCCACATTCAAATTCAGATAGTTGGGCTCCATCATCATCTGTACACAATAAAATGTAGTAAATGGTGGATAAATAAGCACAGGGTGCAGAGGAGGGAAATGGAGCATGAACATCTTACTAAGTCTAGAAAGGCAAAGGACGTTCCTGAGCACTTGTCATTTGGACTTGTTACATGTGACTAAGAGGTAGACAAGCAAAAATAGTAGGGGAACCTCCGGGCTTAGGAAATGCCTGTGGAGGGCCAAAGGCAATTGCTGGAACCAGAAAGCGAGCGCCGTGGAGGGCACTGGAAGATGAAGCTGGAGACACGGCGGATGCCAGTCCCTGGAAGGGGGGCGCGCTGGGGGGCAGTGCCAGCCACATTAGAGAATCTGAGCTTTATACCCAAATCAGAGAACCACTGAAGCGGAGTCACAAGACCAAATCTGCACTTTAGAAAGACAACGTTGGTTACTGCAGGAAAATGTAGAGGATTTTGTCTTTGCCGTGTGTGGCTATTTTGTCTGATTCTAGGAAAACAAGACTGGAGGAGGTCAAAAGATAGTAGTGCGGGTCAAGGGGGAAGCAGTGGACACAGAAGAGGCGGCATCAACAGGATGCAATGGAGGCCCGGTGAAATTACCCAAAGGCCCAGAAGAGAGGCTGCCACTCTTCTCAGCCTTTCCCGCGTGCTGCACTTCGTGTTGGAAGGTAGCAACTTTCTACACCGCCCGCGGGCAGAAAGCGAGGCGGGTATTGGACGGGAAACACCCACCAGAAGATGGTCCCGAACTTCATGCTCCTCCAGAGCTCAGTGAAGTCCTCGAAGCGGACGCTGTCAATCTCCTGGAAGCGGCTGAGCAGCGCCTCGCAATCCGTCTGCAGGCCCGACGGAGTCCCCATGCCTCGACCGCCCGCAGGCAAACGGCGCACAGCCCAGCTCACCCTGATCACGCAGGAAACCCTGTAGGGACGCACGGCCCCTGCAACGTGACGCACACGCGCTACGTGCGTAATATCCGGACCTTTAGCTCCGCCTTCTTGCGGACCCGTGCCAGCGGTCGTGGTGCTTATTGCGCGTGCGCGAACGCGCAGCGCGGCTATAATGGCTGACAGCCGTCTAACTTAAAGTACCAAGTTCAGTCCTTTGAACAATTTCTTTGAAAAGGTTTACATCCCAAGAGCATCGTGAGCCCAAAAAGGATTTTAGGTCTTCATTTTCCTCTAGCTTATATAAATTGGCTCTACCTTTACTATCCCTCTTCTTTAAAGCGACCCTAAAATGACAAGTCTACAACTCCAACCCACCTCCGCGTGGAAAAAGGATCTACGGAAGGGCGCTTACTAGAAGATGGACTCAATTCATTCTCATAATTGCTGAGATACTTTATAGTCTATACCTGTTCAGTTATACAGTGCTTAATGGGAGGCTCTCTCCTTGCAGCCCTCGTCTTGGAGAACCACTCTAGAGAAGAGGAGCTGGGTTTCAACCCTCTTGTAAACAGCGCCCCCAACCCCTGCCCCTACGTTACAGTGTAGCACAGCACTTAGCTGTGCACCTACCTGATGTATTACTATTGTTTGACCTAAATTCCTTCCTCTAGGCCCCACCCCCTAAAGGTTCCACCATCTCCCAATAGCATCATGGTCTGGGGACCACACCCTTAATAGATGGCGTTTGAGGGTCATTTCAGGTAGAAAGCATAGCAGCATATTGTAGTTTTGTTTGCTAAATATGGCAGGTCTACTTATATATTGCAGGACTCTAGAGCATGTACTGTATACCTACCAGTGGAGTTACTGGGTGATAATGATCGCAAATGTTTAACTTTAAAAGATAATTTGAAATTGTTTTCTGAAGTGGTTGAACTGAGTTGCACTTCTCTAGCAATGTGTGACAGTCCCACTTGAGCCATAACATCTCAGAAACTTGGTATCTAAATGTGTGGATTTTTGGGGGGGGCGGGGGAATTGGCACTTAAGACTTTGTGCTTGCTAGGCAGGAGTTCTACTGCTTGAGCCACGCCTCCAGCCCTTAAATGTGGTCTTAATATACGCTACTCTGATTATTAATGTAGTATGCAGATTTTCAAATTCTAACTTTCTATTCATACTTCCTCTATTGTGAAATGCCTGCTCACCTATTTTGTCCATTTTTCAATTGGGTCACTTGGCTTTTTCATATTAATTTCTAGGAGCACCTTATGTATTCTGGATATTAAACTGGTGTTTGTTACATATATTACAGGTATCTTTCCTCAATTTGAGACTTGTTTGTATTTACTGTCTTTCTTGTGTGTGTGTGATTATGGGATTGTAGTTACTATCTTTATGGTGATTTTTTTTTCTTTTGGTAATGCTAGGAATTCAATACAGGGCCTCATGCATACTATGCAAGTCACTCCATGGTGACTTTTGATCTACAGAAATTCTTATTTTTGGCATTGTCAATTTTTTAATATTTTTTTCTTTTGAGGTACTGGAGTTTGAACTCAGGACCTACATCTTGAGCCACTCTACCAGTCCTTTTCTGTGATGGGTTTTTCAAGATAGAGTCTCACTATTTGCCCTGGGTGGCTTTAAACCACGATTCTCCTGATCTCTGTCTCCTGAGTAGCCAGAATTACAGGTGTGAGCCACTGGCACCCGACTTTCAATCTTTTTCGATAAAGACTTTTGTATCTTAGAGTCAAAATATTTTCCCGGGCTGGCAGAGTAGCTCAAGTGATGGAGCACCTGCCTAGCAAGTGGTGAGGCCCTGAGTTCAAAGCCCAGTACAGCCAAAATAAATAAATAAACAAAATATTTTCCCTATCGTTCACTATTAGTGAAGCTAATACCAATAGTACAACAAATAAGCTGAATGCTCAGTGGTTTAACACTTCACATTAAGTCCAATTCACAACAGAATGATACAGGAAAATTCTTCTCCAAGCAATTTTCTGAGGACCCAGACTGATAAAGCTTCTGCCATCTTCACCCACTGGCTTTCAAGGTCAGCCTGAATGTAGACAAGCAGCCTATAGAAGGGGAAATAAAGACAATGTGGCTGATTGCACATTCTCAATGTTAATTATGAATGCATGACAGATTTTTATGGGCCAGGCCTGGTGTGCACTCAAAGTGTGATCTGATATCTGTTGTCTGCAAATTATTACATCTCCATGTCACAATAGTACAGAAAGTAAGAATCAACCTTTCATAACAATTTGATGATCCAATTCCATGTCGGTTCAATCTAATAAAAACTGGGTTAATAGTTGGTATGACTTTTTAAGTGTCTTTTTTTGGCAGTACTGGGGTTCAAACACAGGGACTGTACCACATGACCCACAGCTCCAGCCCTTAAATGTCATTTTTTTCTGATAATTTTTTTTAATATTTTACAAAAGTATCAATGCATGGTAGATGAGAATAGTGCATTAACCCAGATAGTTGAAAAGCACTTTGCATTGGCTGGTGCTCAGTCACATGGACCCATCCAGGAGCCGAGGAGGCTGGAAATGCAGTCCCTTACTGGGCAACCTCTTCCCAGCATCAGCTCCAGTCTATAAAATAGGTAAACAGGTCTTTGATGGAGTGCCAACTTTTCTGTCACAATTTTATTCCAAAAGTCTTGAGTTTTCACTTTTTTAAAATGATTCCTGTATATCATTTGGATGATGGATATAATCTTATAATCTCATTTTCCATATGTACAAACATTTTTATGTGTTTTTCTTTTCCTTTTTTTTGGCAATACTGGAGTTAGAACTCAGGGCCTCATGCTGGATGGCAGGTGCTTTGCCACTTGAGCTATGCCACCACTCATTTTTGCTTGTTATTTTTCAGGAAGGGTCTCACATTTTTGTTCAGGGCTGCCTTCAGACCAGGATCCTACCTGTAGCTTCCTTCTGAGCTAGGATCACAGGCAGATACTGCCCCACAGGACTTATTGATCAAGACAGGGGCTCACTAACTTTTTGCCCAAGCTGATCTCCAAACTCGATCCTTCTGATCTCTGCCTCCTGAATCGCTGAGATTATAGATGTGAGCTGCTACATGTATGTAACTTTCTATGTGTATAATATTCCAGCAGTTGTTATTGAATAATCCATCCTTTCCCAATGCTCCAAAATTACTTCTATTAAGTATCAAGTGTGCATGGCTAATTGCAACCAGTCCAAACCAACTGCCTCCCTATCTGTAGTTAAAACACCGTTTTAAAATAACGTTTCATTACTGTTTAGTATATAACTAACACCCTAAGCCTCCTTACCACCCTCAACCCTACCACATAGGCCTCCCATGCCCATAAACCGGAATCCCACAACTTCCCCAGAACCTAAAAATAAGATGGTTAACCTGGCACAAGAAGGAACCTCCAGTACTCATGCTCACTTCAGGCATTACTGTCTACTTCTAAGGCTCCATTTAGATTTTACTATACTGACACCATAATCTTAATTACTACAACTTTTACACGAACCATTTCTAGGGAGGAAATACTCAGACTTTTGCTTTTCCTATAAACTTTAACTTTGACTTGTTAAACTTCTCTAATAGTGCCATTGGGATTTTGATTGGATTATATTAAATCTCTAAGTCAATTTGGGAAGGAATAAATTCTTTTATTTCTTAGAGTATTGGGGATTGAACCCAGGGCCTTGCTCATGCTAAGCAAGCACTCTACAACTTGAGCCACACCCCTAGCCCTTTTGTTTGTATTTTGTTTTTGAGATAGGGTCTTGCTAACATTGCCTGGGCTGGCCTTGAACTCTTCATCCTACAATCTCTGTCTCCTGAGTAGCTGGGATTACAGATGAGAGCCACCACACCCATCCTTGAAAAAACACCTTTATCATATTAAGTCTTCCTATCCATAAACATTTCTTTAAGCTACTTTTAACATCTTTAATAAAGTTTTATAATTTTTCTCCATGAACTTTTTACTTTTCTTTTCTTGGGTTTTTCTTATGTACCATATGTTTTTGTGTGGCTATGGTATTTGTTATCACTTAGCTCTCTTTTTTTTTTTTTTTTTTTTTTGTAGTACTGGGGCTTGAACTCAGGATCTTCACCTTGAGCCACTCTACCAGCCCTTTTTTGTGATTTTCTTTTTCAAGATAGGGTCTCATGAACTATTTTCCTGGGTTGGCTTTGAACCACGATCCTCCTGATCTCCACTTCCTGAGTTGCTAGGATTACAGGCGGGAGCCACTGGCACCCAGCTACTTCCAAATTCTTCTTTTTTGTTTTTTTACAGTACTTGGGTTTGAACTCAGGGCCTCACGCTTGCTAGGCAGGCACTCTACCACTTGAGCCACTCTTCCAGCCTTACATTTTCTAATTGTTTAATTCTATTATGTGAAAATACAGTTGAATTTCATATATTGATCTAATATCCAGTCTTGTTAAACTCTTGTTAAGTATGATTTTTCTGAAGAATCTTGGAGATTTTCTGTGAATAATGGCAGTTAATGACTGTTTTTCCTTTCCAATCCTTATTCCTTTTATTTCTTATTCACTTTTTATTTCACTTTCCTGGCTAACACTTCCTGTGTCATATTGTATTAATCAGCCTTTCATCACTGTGACAAAATACTTGACATAGTCATTCCCAGTCAGCCAGGGGGCGGGGGCTTTTGCTCTAGTCAGATGAAAATGGTGAACAGGAGAGGAGTGGCTTTCTCAGTGCTTGGGCCTCTGAGTGCCAATGGCTTGTGGATTGGGTTGACAGACCCAGAAGTTTATATTTCCAAAGCCTGAGAACAAAAGGCTTATGGCTTGAGGATTTAGAAACCAGAGACTTACAGCTCGAGGTGCTCAGGTGAGAGGCTATTGTTCTGGGTCTCTTCATTTTTAATCATATTATTGTTTACTGGGGGTATGTTGTGACATTTTCAAAAGTGCTTACAACATACCTAATTAAATCCACACTCCGCCGCCATCATTCTTCTTCA